TGTCAAAGTTCAATTTTTCTGTTTGAACGTTGGCAACCGGTCCACAACGAAACTTTTTGTGACCGTTCAATAATAAAATGGGTGCAAACTAAAAAATTTAAACAAAATATAAGAAATGCAGCATTTTATCACCCTGTAAACTCACGAGTCTTTCATAACATTCCGTGCAAATCGCGCGTGACAAAGTAACAGGGATTCCTACCCTTATAAAGGGTTAAATTTGTTATTAGTGCAATCGAAATATGCTTGGATGGAAGAATAACAAGGCCGAACTGTCGACAACCGACATGGGATGACAAAATGGAGCCGAATTTGGACAAAGTTGTGGTTTTCCCTTGTCGATGGTTAAACAGCTAGGATGTACTTGAATCCAAGTTAAAACTTATTTAAAATGTGCTTGATACCATTATGTCTGAGCTGACGTACATATTTGGAAGGATTTCAACGACATCGGCCATGAACAGCGGAGTAAAGTGGAGAATTTGGCCAAATACGTCCATTTGCAGGAGGTAGGTACATTTCAAATTATTATTTCGGTCACAAAGTTTCAAATATTTTGCCAAAGCAGTGATAATACATATAAATAAGTACCAATTATGTTTCTATAAAAAAGATTTAGGAAAAAAAGTAATGTAGGTGCACTGCTGTTTATCTGAATTTGAAAGTCACAAATTGACGTTTGACTATGAGTATTGCATGGTCATTTTCTTGTGAAATATCAGTGCTAGGCATTTTACACTTACCAATGACCACCCCTAAAAGTACCATCACTGAACCATATAAGCACCTCAGAATAACCAAAGCTTTTATGGTTTGGTAGATAGCAGTATGGCGAAAGCGTCGTTTTTGGGTGTGGTCAGTTTCGAACGTTTCGCCCCGGATTGGAGTTCGGGCAGCGTTACCATGTCGACCGTCATGGTCAACTTGCCCTAAAACAGTTGAGATTATCTGTCCTAAATGAAATGCATACAAACTCATATATGCAGGGTGTCCCAAAAAAAAGTGACACTATAGAAATTATCTCATTGTTCTTAAGCCGCTCTTAAACGCGCGTGATTACACGCCTGGGAATTTAATGAACTTGTATTTACATTTAAGCATTTTAAAACGTTTTCGCTTTGTCCAAATATTTTAACGCCCGAGTCAAGCAAAACGATTACAATATTTTAAATTCCAGAAGCAGAAGTTTATGCACCTGTGGGATCAACTTAGTGCTAGGGCATTCAAATTATAACAATAGGATAATTTCTATAGTGTCACTTTTTTCTGGGACACCCTGTACAGGTCCTAGACTACCTCGGCTTCGCCTCGTGCAACAACGGCGGTCTCGGGTCCACAAACCACACTGTTTCCCTCGGTCTTAGTAAATAAGTGATCCAACGTCGCTACGCCACTGCAAGTCTGCATTCACAACGCAAGTTTGAGCATCGAATGGTTTAAATAAACACGTTTGGCTACCATGAAAATACTCTAGCAACTGTTTTTGTAACACAATCAAATTTTATTGAATCTTTAACTATTTTAGTCTTTTTTTGCCTATTACTTAACAATTATTCGCTGAAGGCGAGGTGATTATCGGTGAATAAAAACCGAGACGAAGTCGAGGTTTTTATTCACGACAATCACCGAGCCTGAGGTGAATAATTGTTTTAGTATAATTTCGTAGGTGATTATTTGGAAAAAAATAAGAAAATACACATTTCATTGTCATTTAATTGACAAAATGGCTTCGGCCGCCATTTTGAAAATCGCTTAGGTGATTATCGCGTAATAATCACCTCAACGGCAACCAATCAGCGTGGAGAACTTTCAATAATCACCTATGTAATATATTATACTAAAACTAATTATTGGGCCTGCTATAGCTATGGCTTATAATTAATGGTCTATTTCTTCAGTAAATGTGACTTGACCAAAGTATAACTGAAAAATAGCTTCTGCCTACAGAGCAAATATATATAACCGTATTTTCGGGCAGACAACGGTCGGGAAAACGAGTTTTCTAATTTCCCCAGCAGCTTCAAGGCAATTAAGTTAATTTCGAAACGTTTTACCGTTTCATTTCACATAATGATGTAAATTTTAGCCTATTGAAGCTAAGTAACATACAGTAAAACTACAGATTCTGAAAATCAATGATTCTTTAGTTAAAAAATTATCTCTTAATAATTTCCTATATTATTTTCACATTACTGTGGCAACTACTATTGTTTTTAATCATGAAAGATTTGTGCGGAATTTCTGTATACTTCATCTGCTAAGAAAGGCTGTTCCATGCATGTATTTCTAGTATTTTATGACAATATTGTCTTCAAAATGTAAACAAACTGCACATCCGCTGAACAGACTTGACAGGCTCTTTAAATAACTGACACAAAGTGGGCGTTGTCATTTGCGGCGCTCATGTTCTATGCGGGCAGCACTGAACTCCGCTTAAAATCCAATTGATTATAATTTGCAAGTTAATATACTTGACCTTTAGAGAGACGGGCATACATTTTCAAAGCTTTAGAAAACGAGAATTTTAAAAGAAGGTCGAGAGAAAGGTGAAGCGCTGTGTAAGTAATTTGTTTATTTTCTTTGCATAACATTGATATAGCACTCTACAAGGACTTTGCAAGGGCAATAATTATACGAGCAGTCGAGCACACAGAAATGGTAAGACAGCTCAAATTAACTGCTTGATTCATGCGTGGGAAGAAATTTTGTACTTTAAAACTCAAAACCTTCTCTAACAATATATAATGATTCTTTTAGGAAATTAGGTTTCAAGGCTTTGTTAAACTATACTAGAGTTATGTATACCACTTCCATAACATACTCCGGCAGTCTCATCTTGTACGATCTGCATGTGCCAGTGTAGATTGTGCGAATAATAAGGAAACTTCGCATTGAAAGGGGTGCAACTACTTGAAAAATGCAAGGCGAATTTTGACATTTTGAGAGAAGGCCCTTTGTCGGAAAAATTAGTCGAAAGGCCTTCGCTCGAAACGTTGAAGTTCTTCTATTTTACTCAGATAGTTGCATCCCTGTCAATCCGACGTTTCCTTAGTCCCAGCTTGCACCGAAAGTATAGAAAATGCGCGTTTCGGTTCGCGAAATTTCAGAGAGTGCCTCTATGCTATGAGGAAATCCAGCTAGTGTATATACTGCCGTAATTTTCACCTTCGTTGGTTCCGCCCTAAATTAGATCACTGCATACGTGAAATCGTCGGTAAGTGAAGACTTTGAGGTGATTTCCGCACTATAGACAAGTCCGCGTGTTGTTGTATAAACTAAGTATATAGAGGACGTTTAGAACACTCTTGATATACTTGAATATTTTGTCAAGATCATGGTTTGTGGCTGAACCACCTGAAAAATATTAAGAACACTTGGATTGTGAAGGCTCTCATGGCGTTCAGCATGCAAACTATAAACTTCCTGCAGCCAGGGGCCTTCCTTTAAAACGTCAAAATGTTTTTAATCTATTTCGTGTAGTTCACAAAGAAACCACAATTATAAGTTTCCCATCTTTCTAGGGCTAATATCCAACTCAGCAACTTGTTATTGTGCAGTTTTCTTCATCGATCGAAAGGATGAGACTAGCGCAAGAAATTTATAGCTTAGCGAGACTAACGCAAGAAAGTAGCGCAAGCAATTTATTTAATAAAGACAATATTCCTGCATTGTTATTTCAACGCAGATGTTTTTATATTTTTAATAACTGATATTGTTTGAAGCGGGTTAATATTATTGTCTGTGAATATATGTTATATATCACAGTGACATGATATACAGGTAATGATTGATACAATGATTTTTTAGAAACAAATATTATACTATAGGGTTTTAATTAAACATGCAATATTCGACCCTTGGTTAAAGCGGCACATTAATTGAAATAATTTTAAACGGTAGACTGCATTATGCCAGTGCAGATGGTATCAATAATAACAAAACTTAGCTTCGGTCGATAGCAATATGCAACTACCTGCGAGATACAAGGAGAACTTCGACGTTTCTCAAACTCACATTAATGAAAAGACACTGCCAGAATGCCTTTTTGCTTTGAATCTTACTTTTCAATTTAAATTCTGATTTTGCAAATGTAGAGATTTAAATTATTGTTTAGACACAAATTTGACAAAGTTTTTTATTCACTTATACGGCTTCATTTGCTTGATACCAGGTGATGTTTTGTAAAGAGAAACTTTTGTCTTGTATTAGCATGCGGTGGTACGTCCGAAATCTTTTCATAACTTCCTGTTTTGAAAAACAATTTCATCACTCCATTACGTATAACTAGAAAATACATGCATGCAGAAACCGTCGCCTTGCTGACAAAACCGTTGTACTTTCCGAACATGAAGTATCTAAAGTAGTTGTCATGGTAACATGATAATTTTTTAAGAATATTCTTACAAATGAAAATCGCCTAAAAATATCACTTTTAATTACAAAATTATCAATTTCCCAACATATATATGTTAGGTATGTAATTATACGTAATACAAGCTTCAAATTAAGGTAAAATTCAACCACAAACAATTCACAAAACGTTTTAAAGTGTTCTTTATAAAACTAAACTGCCTTTAACTATTAAATGGCTTTATCGATAAACTTTGAGTTTGCAATAAAATGATTTCAAATTCTCGCTTGCAAATAACTTTGCTTTATTTTTTATTTAAAAAATTCAATATAATAAAAGAGGGAATCAATATTAAAGATACACTGAAATTATATGCTATCTTGTTTAGTTGTTTCATATACGCAAAGGCCGTCGGGTTTTAAAGCCATTATAAAATCAATATTTAAAGTAAACTTACCTTCGTTAACGTCGGCTCCCTTCTTTTAGCTGATTATTTCGCCCTTTCATTCTTGAAATTTACAAAATCTTGCAGAAATACGAGCAAAAATGAAGAATATTTGCAAGAAATTTATCAATCATCAACTCATCAAATCAAGAAATGTTTGTTATTTCGCTGTCGTCATGCAGCCGTTATAATGCAAACTTTAAATTGGACCAATCAGTGTCCGTTATTCATGACAGTCCGCCATATTTTTGAGATCAGTGAGGATGACCACCCATCGTCGGTCACCAACGATGGGTGGTCATCCTCACTGATCTCAAAAATATGGCGGACTGTCATGAATAACGGACACTGATTGGTCCAATTTAAAGTTTGCATTATAACGGCTGTATGACGACAGCGAAATAGCAAACATTTCTTGATTTGATGAGTTGATGATTGATAAATTTCTTGCAAATATTCTTCATTTTTGCCCGTATTTCTGCAAGATTTTGTAAATTTCAAGAAAGAAAGGGCGAAAGAATCAGCTAAAAGAAGGGAGCCGACGTTAACGAAGGTAAGTTTGTTTTAAATATTGATTTTATAATGGTTTTAAAACCCGACGGCCTTTGCGTATATGAAACAACTAAACAAGACAGTATATAATTTCAGTGTATCTTTAATATTGAT